GTCTCTTCAGTCTGAAGGGAGTGACCCACACTGACAGGCTGAAGGAACTAAGTCTCTTCAGTCTGAAGGGAGTGACCCACACTGACAGAAGGAATGCAGGTATGACGTCTGTTGAGTAAAGGAACTGGATCTCTCCTGTCTTGAACAGAGACGACTGCGAGGGAAGCTCGTGCTCATGTGCTCTGATCCACCAGCACTGTCTGGAGCACACTTACACAACACTACAATTCACTCATCAGCTTTCACCTCTGACACATTTCAATTGCTTGTTATAAAAATGACTTTTATATGAAATTTTATATTACTTTTTATAAAGAACTAACTTTATTTTTAAAGTACCCCGCAAATTTCTCATATGAACACTTAGGACTTCTATTGTAAACTAGGCCATAGTCAAAAACAAAATACCGTACAGTTCAAAACATGATACTCCAATTAATTTCCTCCTGGACTTTACCAATCATGGCCTCCTAATAATCCCCATCTCTGAACTGGCTTCATCACTGTGTTCTCCTCCCCACTGAGAGCTGCTGTGTGGGGATAATCTTTGGCTGCCGTCTAATGGTGGAGGTGGAAGGGAGTCCTCATGACCTGTAAAGCGCTTTGAGCAGAGTGTCCAGAAAAACGCCATAGAAGTGTAAGGAATTATTATTAGGATCGAGGAACAAAAATGTGCCTGTTCGGATTACAAGACCTCGCGTTTGACTAAAGTAACATATACTTAAAAGTACACGTGTTTGACACCGGATAAACTCCACACCTGACTCTTTGTGTATCACTAGAGTACATTCAAGAACAAAAATAAGTTCAGAAAACATTCAATGACAAAGGGGTAGCGCCTACACCGGTCCTTCAGACGAGTCCATTGGGCGATCTCGGGAAACAGACACTCTCTTCCTGAGCCCACCTCGTCACCGGATTCGATTACCCTTATGCCTATCAAATCACCCCGTCCAATAAGAATGTGGCAAGACCTCAGTGCGGTCTACTATTGGTCCATAGTTCGAGAAAGCTGCACGCTATTGGTCCTCTTCGCAAGCCTGTCAGCCTAGACACGCCCCCTTCCTTTCCACAAAACGCCCGTTGGGTCGAAAAGCCCTGGTTTTGAATGCGGACGCCACGGTACTCACGGTTGGCAGGCGGGAGGCAGATGTAGTTTTTGAAGAACTCGCTTCTCCTCGCTCCCGCCTTAATTCGGTTAGCCACCGGCTTGCTCATCTGCCGGATTCCCAGATACAGCAATTTAGCGATAGGAAAAGCACCCACCACCATCTTGGCGGAAGTACGTCACTATCGTAGACGGGCCGAAAGACGCAGAGGGGAGGAAAAAGGCGCGTTACATCCTCGTCGTGGACGTCATTAATATTCATGAGCTCGAAGAACGCACTTGTGGGGCTGTGTGATACATTAGTCAGGCTCAACTTTTGAACATTTATAATGTCTTTTTGTAATAATAGGTAGATAACATACGTATAAAACTGAACTGTCTAATACTACTTCATCCTTTAATACTTATAAGGTGGAAATGCGACGTTTTACGTTTTACCCCATTAAAAACGTGAAAATTAACAAGGCAAAAAAACACTTGATGTACGTATTTTTTAACTCATTTGGGTCCTGATTGTTATTGCCTGTGGCAGCGTACTGTTTCTTGTTTTATCTTTTTGTTCACCTCACGTTTTTGGAGTAGTTCGAGTAGGGAGCTGCGTCAGCAGGCGTAGGCTACAGAGGAACAGGTAAAGGTTTATTCCTGTGCCGAAAAGAGAAGGAAAGAAACACAACGTTTTGGCTGTGGAGCCTTCTTCGTGTTGCTTTTTTATGATTTATTTTTTAAATATATTTTCTCTTTTGTTTGTATTTTGTGATGGTCAATAAAAGTTTGAAAAAAGTCATTTTCAGTATATACACGCGAAGAAGGCTCCACGGCCAAAACATTGTTTCTTTCTTCTCTTTTCAGCCTGGAATAAACCTATGACTTGTTCCAATTTGTTCCATATCCAGCTTTTACTGAGGAGCTCGATATTAAATACGTTCGAAAATTTTGAATCTTCAAATTATGTAGTGTAAGATAATTACCGGCATGGACTGCCACTCATTGGCAGCGAGTAGCACGACTAGTTCAGCAATGATACTCTGCTGCCCTTTAGTTATTACCCCAGTTTTACTGGCTGACTTGTTCCAGACTCCTGCAACCTTTTGTGTAAAACCCCAGTTTTAAATGCACCTCCCCATAGTTTTCTTCTTCATGATGGACTGCATCAATACATACCTAACCTGGGCAAGCCAGACACAAAGGCACGCACCCCAGATCTCGCACTTGCTGTTGTAAACGTCAGACCTCGGCCCGGGGGAGACAGAAAAACTCCATTTCCCGGCATGCAGCGGAGGCTGGGAGGGCTCACCTGTCCAGCTGTGCCCGGAGCCACCTCACACCTGGCTCGGGTTACAGCGGCCGCGGTTCCCAGCGGGCTGTGGGCTGGGCTTGCATTCCAGCGGCACTGCATCAACACAGTCGAGGCAAAGCGAGTCAGAGAGAGACGCTGAGAAGAGGGACGGGCTGGGAACTCCGACGAAAGAAAAGTTCTGCAAGGAAGAGTCCGCCAATCTGTGCATTCGCTCCGTCGGTGGAAAAGTGCTGTGGAGATCGGATCGGGGGTGAGTGAGGAAAGCTTCACATTTTTCGACTTTTCGGCTTTCTTTTATTTTTAACCGAACCGCATTTCATTTCATTTGACATTCGTCTTTTCACGGTAGTTGAGGCACCGACAGAAAAGCGAGCTCGGGGGCTGTTTGTGACGGGGGCTGGGTCTGTCCCGTCGCAGGCGGACAGAGACGCGATCCCGTGTCGCGGAGGCCGGGCCGGGCCGGGCCGGACCGGGCTGGGGGTCGGGCTCCGGCCGGGGAGGGGGCGCAGTAATGCAAGTCAGATGTTCGGGAGAGACAGGACGGACTGGGAGTGGAAGAGGGGGATTATTACTGTTGTGCTGAGAGCGTGTTGGAGTGTCGCTCCTCGGTGTCTTCAAATGGAAGGCAAGTGAGGGGGGTTATGTTTGGACGTTAAGGCAGGGTGGTGGAGAGCTCGATGTTGTTTTGCGGTGTGCAGGATTGGCTATGTTTATTTTCAAAAGTGTTATCAACTGCACGATTAACGAAAAAAGCAGGTGACATCTTAAACTGTAAATACAGAATCCAGCATTGAAAATCCCTGTAAAACGAAACGCTTCACATGATTATGATGATGATGATTATGATTATTATTGATGTAAACAGTAGTAATGTATCCGTCTACATCTGTCAGCCTTGACACCTGGCTTCATTAAAACTCTCCTCCATCTAACCTTTAATTCTCAACCAATTAAGGAGTAATGCTCGGGGCCCTGTAATTGTATGGCATGAATATTCTCATAAATATGTATTTTATATTAGATACCTGTACATAGTAGACTGTGACTGTCTACTTATAGATCTGTTTGTGACTGCCTGTCTCTCAGCTTACACACCTGCCTTTGGCTATTTGTCTATATATACCTCCCATGGACTGTCTGTCTAGA